CAATGTGTTTAATGATAAGTAAAAGGACTAAAACATGACTTATGTGATTTGATCGAGGTAGAGTCTCCCAGTAAGGACATTATATAGCAATTATAGTGTGTTGAGCATATAGCTGGSGCTATATGAGGACCCAGAAGAAAACACAGACATTTATCAATAGGTGCCTTAGAATTATTTTCCGGATGCGTTGGCAAGATAAAGTTTCGAAAGAGGAGCTCTGGAGGCAAGTAGGAGAAGAACCAGTTGCTATGCTGATAAGAAAAGGAAATGGGGTTGGATTGGTCACACGYTACGCAAGCGTACGAACTACATTACGCGTCAGGCTTTGGGTTGGAAAGGGAGGAGGAAGCGAGGCAGCCTAGAAACAGCTGAAGGAGAGATGCGGAGAAGCTGAAGGAGAATAGTCTGATTTGGTCAGATATTGGTCGAGGCCCAAAACCGTGTGCGCTGGAGAAGGACCATCGATGGCCTATGCTCCGCAGGGAGCCAAGGGCCTAATTAAAAAAGTAAGCGTATAGCTGTCGATTAGTTAAGTCTCGTAAAGAGTTATATATAATAAATAAATTCTCTTTCAACTGATGTTTTATATCCACTTTAACATCAACGACTCCATAAAGCATTTTGGGAAGCATGGGTGGCGTAGAGGTGAGAGCGCTTGCCTCTCATCGATGCGTCCCGTGTTCGATCCTCTGACTCGTCGTATGTGAATAGAGTTCTTGGTTCTCTCCGGTGCTTCCAGGGTTTTCCTCGGGGTTCTCCGGTTTTCCTCCCTCCGCAAAAATTAATTTCTAAATTCTAATTCGATCTAGAAAGGGCCTAGATGTTTTTCTGTGTAATTCTAGTTCCCCTATCAAACTGTGTAGTTTTTTTAAAACATCGTTGTCAATTAYATAATTGAGTGAAAACTGATCCTCATGTATCTTGGTAGACAGGCTGAAAGACTCAGCCTATAATTAGCATTTGGAACTGAACCACCTGCTCCCTAAACTACTTTATATTTCACTACGTTTTCTTTCTTTTTTATTTGATTTCTCGGAAAAACTATCAAAAATGGTTACGTTTTTTTTATTTTATTTATTTTTAATCCAAAATATTATGGAGAAAAATGGGTTGAAAGATAATTTACTCATTYGTTATAACTCTTTCAAAAGAGTTTCTAAATAAATAGCACTTTCTTAAGTTGACTATAATTGCTATAAGAATCAAAGACTAGCCGCGGTAATGCTTCGTTCTTTTTTTGTCCTTTCATTACGGTGACATGTTAGACTGTGTCAATAGACGTAATATTTCTTAGCATCAGGTCTGTGGGTGATGAATGGGTGACGAGGCTTTGACGGTGAAAGAACTCAAGCAGAGGACTATCCCTACTAAAACATTATTCATGCATGGAACGGCGACTTCTAGTGCAACTAGAACTTAGCACTTCTGGATCTGAAGTATATAAAAAAAACTTTTTTTTTTGAAATTAAACCAATAGTAGGATTTGGTGGTTAATATCAATAATATTAATAATATTATAGTACACTCAGCAAAATTACTCGACTCCGATTGGTCGAGAGGAGTACAATTATAGCGTTAATTGTACACCGTAGGAGTACCGAATTAAGTCGCTATGGCAACACGGCCAAAATAATGTCAAAAACAATTATTTTCTATCATTTTGTACTTAAAAAACATATAAATAAAATTTTAAAGCCGTAAGAACCAATCTTTTTTATGCATTTCAGTTGCGCGATGGACTGAAAATCGGCCGCCAAATAGACAAAGATCAACGGCGTCGCTTCGCATTTTTTACTGAAATTTTGTTGAGTGAACTATAAACGATAAATCGCACGATCTTCTCGTAAAGGCGAGTGCAATTAAAGAACTTTCAAAACATTACTCGTGTCTATTAATTTCCAAATTGTACTCGAGATCGTGCGATTTCCTATACTAATTTATTTATATGGCGCTCAT